CATAAAAAATGTAAGAAGAAAGAGCAGGAGAAGGCCATTCAGCCCTTCAATCCCATTCTGCCATTCAACGAGGTCACGGCTGATCTTCTATCTCAAAGCCAATTTCCTGCACTCTTCCCTTGTCCCTGGGTTTCTTTAATATCAAGAAATCTCTCGACCTCAGTCTTGAACATACTCAGTGAATGAGGGTTCACAGCCCTCTGGGGTATAGATTTCCAAAGATTCATCATGCTCTGAGTGAAGAAATTCCTCTTCATCTCCATCCCAAATGGCCGCCCCCTCATTCTGAAACTGTGCCCCAGGTTCTAGATCTCCTCCAGCCCAGGGGAAAACATTCATCCTGCATCCACCCTGTCGGGTTGTGTTATAATTTTCAATGAGATTGCCTGTCATTCTTCCAAAGTCCAGAGAATACAGGCTCAATCTATTGAATCTTCCCTCAGAGGACAATCTCACTATACCAGGAATCTGTTCAGTGAACCTTCATTGCACTTCCTCTATGGCAAGTATATTTTCCAGTGGGTGTGGAGTTCAAAACTGTACAAAATACTCAAAGTGTGGTCTCACCAAGGCTCTATATAGTTGTGGCAACACAGTTCTGTAATCGAAACATTGTTTTACTAGAAGCAAGGGATTTTAATTGAGCAAATGTGCATGTGCGTGGGTCAATTATTGGGAATCTATTAGACAGTGATTGTTTCTCTGTAGATTGACAGCTGCAAGATACTATTTTATTGTCTGAAACCTTCTGTGATGAATTGTCGTGATATAAATTGTCGATGAGAGCTAATTAGATGCAAGTGTAGCATAGACTTTGCATGTATGACACCGGTCAGTGTGATGACGTGCTCGGTTCAAGACTATTATTATATGTAGACAGGTAGGTAGGTACATAGATGGATTGTCGACTTGTGGGCTACATCTTGCAGAGTCCTTGCATAATTTTGGGCATCAGCACAATCAGATGCAGGTTGTAGACACAGGTCAAATTCTCCTGAACTTTACAATGTCTGGAGCATGTTGCAGGCTAACCAACCCCTATTAGCAGCTCATGAACCCCTATTAGCAGCTCGTGTGTAAACACATCCAAATCGGAAACTTGACTTGAAAACCCGAGCAGGCAGCATTTCACTTACTCGTCCGCCATCTTTGCCAGGTGCGCCCTCAGGTCCTTTCTCACCATTATCGCCCTAAGAGATAAATGAGAGGGGGAGAAGAATTAGTTCTGTTTCTTTCAGAGAATATAAGGCATGTCAGTTGCTTTATTATGAAACTCTTCTCAAAACCTGGCACAAATGATATAATGTGACTACGACTGATTCATTCTCCTTCTCAATTTTTCTGCAAATTAGAGAAGAATTTTGATCATCCTCTTTCATGTATGAACATGCGTTCAAAGAGAAGTTAAAAAAGGAAGAAACCTTAGATAGAGGAAAAGGCCATTAGATCCATAAAAGACTGGGCTTAATGGCTTATCAACCTTACCTGCTTGCTCCCTTCTTAATTCACCAAGACTTCATAGGCAGCACCTTCTAAATGCACAGCTACTCCCATCTAGAAGGACTAAGGCAGAAAGTTCCCCTCCAAGCCACCCACCATCCTGACTTGGAAATATATCGCCTTTTCTTCACTGTCGCTGGGTCAAAATCCTGGAATTCCCTCCCTAACAACATGTGGGTCTATGATTGTGGGACTGCAGTAAATCAAGAAGGCAGCTCACCATCTTCTTCTCAAGGGGCAACTAGGGACGGGAAATAAATGCTGATGCAGCCAGCAATAACCACGAAACAAACCTTCTTTCGCATGACACATCCAGTTGTCTACCATCTCTGATAACATTACCCTTTGAGAGAAAACGTTCTGCTGAACATTCCTGCTTATGCTTAACTACCTAATTTTGAATTTGTGTCCTATGCTGAGCAATTTGCTGAATCAGTTTAGTTGGAGCCTTCCTTAATCTTGAAAACCTTAGCCAGCTTATCTTGGAATTTTATCTTTCCTGAAGAAAATACGTGGGAGCTCAAGCTTAAAATAATAAGAACTGGACTAACAGCAGCAATTACAGATAGTGCTACATCTGAGGAGCTTGCTCACAGTAAATGATGACTGTTGTGTGTGTGGTAGCCCCTCAGAGCAAGGACAATGCTTCCCATGGCAGGAACCTGTGTGCGAAGTGCTATAGCATGGGGAAGTTGTTACTCTGTAGCTCCCATATGGTTCTGGTTGACCAGGAAACTCTCTTACTCTTACAGCCTGCCATAGGTTTATCGGCAGGATTTACAGGTTGATAATAAATCTGTTTGGCCTGCGTTATGATACAACTTTAATGGCCCTCAAATCCAAAGATGGGATTTGATCCCAGATGCTGCCACTGTGCCACAAGACCTCCTTGTGGATTACTAATCTGCTACAAATTGGCTAGAATTTTTGATTAGGAAGGGACAAGAGAGAAAGCTTACTCTGTCGCCTTTTGGACCGGGAATTCCAGCAGCACCCCTCTCGCCTGGCATACCCTGGAGACCGGGTGGACCTTGAGCACCGTTAGGACCAGGAGCGCCAGCTGCACCCTGCAAAATGAAGCAAAGGCCCATGTCAAAGAAAAATGCTTCACAACGCTTATACCAAAATCAAGGCTGTATGAGTAAAGGGAGAATCCTACCTTAGGACCATCAGCACCAGGAGTACCTGGAAGACCACGTGGACCCTGCAGTCCCTGAGAACCTGGAGATCCGCGTTCACCTGGGAAACCTCGTTCACCCTGAGAATAATGATAGCCATGTCACTTGTGGGATCAAAACCCCTGTCATTGCAGTATCACTGGGATATTTATAAAGGGAGTAGCATCAGTGTGACACATCAGCAGATATAAAATGTATATAGATAATAAGTTACATTACACTTTGTCTTTGCAAAATAAATGGAAGTGTAATAAGGTAGAGTGTACAACAGAATAGCGGCAATGTCTATATTGGTATATATACGGGGGCTTTGTGAGAGCATGTAATGCAGTTTTGGTCTCCCTACCTAAGACAGGCATTACTTGGCAGAGAGGGGTTCACTGGGCTGGTTCACCAGGGATGACACGACTGTCCAAAGAGGAGAGATTGGTTTGACTTGTATTCACTAGATCACAGAGGTCCGTATTCACTAGAGTTTAAAAGGATGAGAAGGGACCTGATTGAAATGTATAATCTTCAAACTGGGCTGGACAGACTAGATGCAGGGAGGATCTTTCCCCTGGTTAGGGGGAGTCTAGAACCAGGGGTCACGGTCTCAGCATTCAAGGGTAGGCCATTTAGGGCTGAGATGAGGAACATTTCTTCACTCAGAGGGTAGTGAACCTGTGGAATTCTCTACCATAGAAGGATGTAGAGGCCAATAACTGAATATATTCGGGAAAGGGATTGATAAATATTTAGACATTAAAGAGTATGGGGAGAAAGCAGAAATATGGCATTGAGATAGACGATCAGCCATGATCATATTGAATGGTGGAGCAGGCTCAAAGGGCCGAATGGCCTACTGCTGCTCCTATGTTTCTATGTTTTTATAACTTATCTGCTTGGAGCTTCGGGTTCTGATGAAAGGTCATCAACCTGAAATTTGGACTCTGTTCCTTTCACAGATGCTGCCAGACCTGCTGAGTTTCTCTAGCAATTTCTGTTTTTTTTTAATTTTAGAGGTCCACTATTGGCAATGTTTTACTTTTGTGGGAAATATTAAGAGTTTTATAACATCATGGCTGTGTGTGACTGGATTGGGCTTGTCCTCACTGGAATTTAGAAGAATGAGGGGGGGTTCTCATAGAAACCTATAAAATTCTGATGGGACTGGACAGGCTAGATATGGGAAGAATGTTCCTGATGTTGGGGAAGCCCAGAACTAGGGGTCACAGTCTAAGAATAAGGGGTAAGCCATTCAGGACTGAGATGAGGAAGAATTTCTTCGCTTCAGTGAACCTGTGGAATTCTCTCCCACAGAAAGCTGTTGGGGCCAGTTTATTAGATACATTCAAGAGGGAGCTGGATGTGGCCTTGTGGCTAAAGGGATCAAGGGGTATGGGGAGAGGGCAAGAGTGGGATACTGGGATTGTACGATCAGCGATGATCATATTGAATGGCCTACTCCTGCACCTATTTTCTATGTTTCTATGCAAGAGTATAAGCACAACAGTTTTGGATTTATTACAGTATACTGTATGAAATAGAGTGGTGTGTAATACAACATGGGTCTGAAATGGTGTAGGGAACTGCAACAAAGTTAGGGCCTGGAATATTATGGTAGATGTAACAGTGTAGGGATCGCAGAATGGGGATATGTGACTGAACATTGCTAAAGAGAGGCATTAAGTCAAAGCTTTTTGCTTTGCCCTCATTGGGACTGGGTTGCAAGACACCAAACTTAGGAAGAGAATAGCATGAGAACAGGTTGCTGATAAGTTGGACCATGTTCAGCATGGAGATACAGCAGGACGTGTTAACTGTCAATCCAAGTTAGCTGATTTGACTACAGTCCAGGCAGGTCGATCTGATTGGTCAGGGCATTGCCATGGCGAATGCAACAGGAATGTGCAGGCTCTGCAGCCCTTTCCTCAGTGAAAAAGCTGCAATGTATTAACAAGTTCCTTTTACCACCTAGGTGTGTGAATGTATGGAGATTTCAGCACACGCGAATGAATTACACTTTGTATAAAAGTAGTCATGTGTAACAGGATTGGGCGGGGGGGGGGGTCTCTGATCATATAAGGATTTGGAAGTATATAGAGATCTGTAACATAGGGATGTGTAACTGTACAAAAGTATCATAAATATCAAATTATAAGGGTCTCTAACAGCAAAGTGATATGGAACAGTATAGGGGCATGGAAGAGCAGAGGGATATGGAAATTCCGAGGGCTATATAACGGCAGAGGGATTTGGAAATTCTGAGGGTCATATAACAGCACAGGGATATGGAACAGCAGGGGGCTATGATAATTCTGAGGGTTATATATTAACAGAGATATGGAACAGCAGAGGGACATGGAACAGCAGAGGGATATAGAAATTCCAAAGATTAAAAAACAAGGGAGTTATGGAACAGCAAGGGTATAGATGCAGTGTGTATGATAATGATGTGTCATACAATAGGGATGTGAAACACTACAACGTTTGTAAAATGGCAAGGTTCTGTAACTGTATAGGGCTACATAACAGGATATTTGTCTGTAATAGTTTGGAATCTGTTCTACTATTAGTGTCTGTTACACTTCAGGGGGGCCTAACAGGATAGTTTTCTGTTACATTATAGGCATACGTAACAGTATTGGTGTCTGTATCATTTAAGGTTCGTTACTGTCTAGTGTTCAAAGTAAATACTGGCACTACGAAAGATGGTTCAAATATCAACGGAAAACTTTTGTTATTCATGAATAAGTTCAGATTTATACTCAATGTTTCTCAGAAAGAATACGGTTACTTACTCGTGGACCTGTCGGGCCTGCAGCACCAGCCTCACCTGGAACACCCTGTCAGAGAAGAAGAAAGCACTAGTGAGTGGTGGCAGACAGTAAAAGATTGCATAGACATGATATTGCATGGAGATGTGGAGAAATCCAGCCATTTCCACACTACAACAGCCTGTGTAAGCCCATCCAGCATTAATTCCACTGTATTCCTTTTGCAGCTCTTTGCTCACCACTGGTATAGTTCCCCTAAGATGAGGCCCAATGCAATTGGCTCACAGCGAGTTAAATTTCCCTCTCGCCACAGACGCTACATGTGGAGGCTCTTCTAAATAGTTCTTAGGCTCAATTACAGGATACAAGAAGTAGCTTGCCTGTTTTTCCGCTGGCCTCTAAAGCTCATGCACTATTCAAACCTTTATTACCTCTATTTTATTGAGACCGGGAATTGTCCCTCTGAATATTCTTTTGCTGTTCCTTCTCATCTCCAAATATGTCATTCCTGACTCTCCTCCTCCTCCCTGTATTGTAATTTTATTCAGTCTCTTACTTTAATTAATTTTGGATCCTTTAAGCTTTTACAGTGGATTGAAAAACAGATGATTAGAATTGACAGCCCATTTTATTGTTTGGCTGATTTTCTTTTCCCTTGAAATGGAAAGAAAGGTGTCAAACTGACTGTCAATTTGTCGGTGTAAAAGGTCAAACATACATCTGTTTGAGATCCCAAACTGTGGAACTCCTCACCTCACTCTAGACTTCCTTTCTTCCTGCGATCTATCAATTTTTAAAAGCCAAATTTGGTGCCCCCAATCATAACCTACATAACAGGCCCTGCTTTCAAAAATATTTCTCTGTGTAAAACATACACGTGTTTTGACATGTCATTATATAAGAGGCTATTTTACTTTAACTGATTTTTAATATCATAGTGGTATCCTATCCTGAAGGTCTTGCCCCTTCACATTGCTTTAGATTAATGTGACTTTAATTTAATATGAAGTGTTGAAAACTGAACAGTTTTAGCAGAAGAGGATATGTTGCCCGTGATTAATGAATTACTTACCTGGTCACCTGGCTTGCCACCTTCACCAGGAGGACCTGGAGGACCTGGCAGACCCTGTAATAGCAGCAAAACAATGTGATTAACACAAAATAAAACATGGAACTTGAGAACAAGGAGGAACAGGATCTGTGTGGTGTAGATTTATGTTAACTAGAGATTTTGTTGAATAAATTCAACAGATGTATAATAGGGTAACAATTCCACTAAATTAATACAATACCAAACATCAACTGCTTAAGGTGTGTAACCGAAGTAAGCTGCTTCAATATGCAAAGATTTAGAATTTAAAAATAACAGGAATGATCCCTGTCATCTTAATGATGGTAATCTAATAGTCAATCGCTTATCGGGGATTGATTAACTCTGCAGGTTAGTTTATTTAAAGCAGTAAAATACATTCTAAGTTATGAAACAGTCATTATAGCAAACCGACTAAATGTTGCAGACCCACAACATATCTGACAGGCAGAGTCGTAACATTGTGTACACACAGCACATGGAGTCCTTAAAGATTAACCTTCTTAAAGACGAGGCAAACATAAAATAATTAGAGGGATACTGACCATGTGCACGCAGATTGGATTAGTTTAGAATGGCATCATGGTTGGCACAGCCTGTTACTGTGCTGTATTGTTTTATGTTAACCCCTAGCTAAATGAGCCCGTTTGCTAATTATGCACCAAAAAATTGAAACAAAATCAGTCTGCATTACAGAAGATTGTTTTAGTAAGGGTGTAAAGATTTGATCTTACAGACCTGGAAGCCAGGAGGACCGGGAGGACCTTGTTCACCTCTCTCACCAGCAAGACCCTGTTAAACAGTAACAGTGTCAAAGGTTGTTAAACATCACAGCTATTAATACACCATGTTTTTTTCAGGTCAGTATCTAAGGTCATTTTGAAGGCTGCTGATAAAAACAGCACAATGTGAGAGATCCCACTAAGTTCTTGCAACAATTCACAATGCCTTTGAGTCATCCATCATGTTATTTGAATAGAACTTAGTGAAGTTTGATACTATTAAAACAGAAATTTTACAAATTAGATTAAAATCTGACATTAATTGGAGCAATATGGAGGGACATGGAAATGGCAATAAGGACAATATACATTTTTAAAATGTATTAAAATGTTTGAATTTAACAGTCTGATCTGATAAAGTAAAATTTAAATGCTAGGTCATCCAAGATATTCAAACTCACTGATGGACCAGAAGGACCCTGAGGACCTGTTTCACCGTCTTTGCCAGGCAGACCCTATGGAGGGGTAAAGAGAGTTGGTGTTCAGTATAGAATAATGGAATCAAAGTTGTAATATCTTAACATACAAGTAGATTTTACTGTTCTCTGTTAATCCTGTGGGGTTTGCTTTAAAACATTCAACTGTGCAATAGCCATTCCAACTCAGTCTACTGGTCGTATAGTATACTGTGACTTACCATATGAAACTATCTTGTCACTACATTATTCTATTACTATATCGTTACTATGGAATAATCATGTGGTATTATAGTGTACCATAACATATTGTACATCACTTTATACTATATCATACTATCCATATATTGTATGCTGTGCCATCACATACTGTGTGTATAGTGCCATGCATATTTTATATAATACCATGCTGGGCATATCTCTACATTGCTATATTGTACTTTACCATATACTGCACATCCTTTGGTATTCTGTAATGTTCTATACTGTGTATGCAATGCATGTCACATATTTCACATTTAGAATGTATTGCTCCATGCCATATCAAATCATATTGCAATACTAAGTACTGTACCACGATCCTCTGTGTTATTAGATTCTAGATTACATTCTGGATGTTCTTGCTGTAAATAATGGGCAGTATTTGTCATGTATATGCATATTATGTTGTATATAATGTGGTGGATTTGAAATGTATTGATGAAAAGACCTACATGTTGCTGAAGCTTGTTGTCTTGCACTCATCAGGACAGACACAAGAATGCCAAATTTCAAACAGCCACAAGAATTTATAGTGTGTAGAATGTGATGTACACAATTTACGTCTCTTGTACTGTACCTATTATGAACTATAATGTGGAATGTTAACAATGTACTTGTACAGTACTATATCTAATGTGGAACACTTGCAACATGCACACTATGCTACATTAAATGTGGAGCACTTAAAATTGTCATATACTGCACTGTATGTGGAGTAATATAGATAGACAGCAACATGAAGCATTTTGCTTTATTAGGTTATTTGCTATTGTTCATACACACTTTATAATGTATGTGAACTATTTATAACATACTGCGCTGTCACTACGGTTTTTGTGCTTGCACACTTATTGGGATCAATGAAACCGTTACTTTCGGGTTTGTCCTCTGACGCTACAGGAGATTGAACCAAAACCAGAGGATGGTTTTATAATGAGGTTATGTTATATGATGGGGAGCACATTTACTGATCCTGCATTCTCAGCAGGGAGATGCTTTGAAAGACAGAGTAAAGCGAGGATAATTGCTTTGGCAGTCTGGTGCCAATGTTCCAGCCCATGCTTCCCAGGCTGAATCCAGACCCAGCTAGGAATGTCCAATCATTCATTTTGAATTTATGAGATTATTTTACATGATACTCTACCGTGTAAGAACTGTACTAAATGATGGCATTTCATTATCCTACATTATTTATTTAACCTGCACCAAGCTGTATTATAATTTCATTTGCTGTGACCTATTTAACATTTTCATGTTCCACTGCCACTGCGTCATATTTTCCCTTTGGAATTCTCTAAAGGGAGGCTGTGGGGGTCTCAGTCATTGATCTTTTAATCAATGGCAGAGTAGGTTTGAAGGGCTGAATGGCCTTCTCCTACTCCCAATGTTCCCTTGTGACAACAGAGTAGCATTTAATTGCTTTTAATGCACTTCCACGTAGCCTCGTTCTTTTTAACTATCTACTAAAAGCAGATTGCATAATAAGTAGTATAGATTAACTGTATCTATTAATCAATAAGTCCCCGAGAACCCATCATGGGTCAGGTGGTCCTTTGCGATGAATAGCGTGTCTTGCTATTCCCAATTGTGTCCAATATCTTGCATCAGATGCAACAAAACATTATCTGATGAACATCTTATCATGTCAAGCTGCTCTAGGCCAGTCAAGTTGTACATCAACGCTGACTATGGTATAACACAAGGCTAATAGGGCTTTTAAATAGTAGCTACTGATTACTGAATTACAGTTATTCAGCAAAAGATCAGGTTACTTACCCTCAACCCAGGAGCACCAATGAGACCCTTTTCACCAGCCTTGCCAGCCTCGCCCTAGTCAAAAGAAAGTAAATAATTCAAAGTTGTGTCAAATAGTTTTGCCTTATTGTCATAAGGAAAATCTATTAAAGCTATCAGTGAGTGTAGTGAAGCAATGCTGAGACCAGAGCATGGTACACAACACATGCAGGAAGCAGCAGAGTACAGTATCACCAGCACTGCAGAAGAGCACAAGAGGAAATCAGATGAAAGTACAAACTTTACTCACAGTCGCACCCTTTGGTCCTGGGAAACCCATCACGCCAGGCTGTCCCCTAGCACCCTGTGGACCGGGTGGGCCAGGGCGGCCATCTTCACCAGGGGCACCCTGCACACAAAACAGATAACCATGAACTTTCCTTCAGCATCTCTGCAGAGCAGCTCATATTTATTACCTTCAGTTTACCGTAAAATATCTACCAGATCATAAAAATAAAAGGGTTCCTGAGAGAAAGAGAGAAATCATTCTTAACATTTGGTTTCATCTGAGAATATTTTCTTGGTGGCTGCACATGTATCCTCCTCTACTGAGGAGTGTGAACTGGTCTGACTCCTCTACCAAGGTAAACGGTCTCAATCTTTTGGCGATTATACTCCTGTATCAAGGCGAAGAGACTAGGCTGAATGCCTTGGCACTCAAACTTGCCACTGCCTAGAAGAATGAAATGGTTTGAACGTCTTGGCATTCATGCCATCCTGTGCCTAGATGAATGAGATAGTTCGAATGCTTTGGCACCCATATCCACTACCCAGTGGGATGATCTGAATCCTTTCCCAACCCATGCCCCCTGTCTCTGAGGGCAGCATAATCTTCATTGTCAGATCTCTTCCCTTAGTTGAGGGAGCACAGTCAGTACCTTGACTGTGCACAGAAGAGGCTATGATTTAATGAGGGTTACTTGGCCAATCATTTTCTTATCCCTACACCTTTTTGGTTATAGCCTGGTCTGGCTTGTCCCTGTGGCCTGGCACTACCAAGACATATTCAAGCAAAGGACAGTAAAAGGAGAAAACCTTTGGCTCAACTTACAGTAGCTCCAACTTTGCCTTGGGGACCAGCATCTCCAGGACGACCTGTAAGACCCTGAACAAGAAACAAAAGTGAAATGAGTCAAAAGTCTGAACATCCACATTCTTCATTCACCGTGAAGACATTTTTGCCTTTACTGTCATCATTAACCATTGATCACATTGATTATTGCCTATGACACTTTTTCCAAAGTTCCCTTTGGGGTTAGGTGATAGAGGTGAGGTTCTGGTTTTAATGTTTTACTGATGTATTTGTTTTAAAGGGAGTACACTCAGCACCAGTAAAAACTATGGGCTATTAAATGTGTTTAAACAGTTTTTAGGGCTCTAAATAAAATTACATTCATCCAGTTGAAAGGGAATTTTAATTTGCATAGTCCATCAAATAGACAGAATTAGAGATTGTTATTTAATTTGGTACATTCTATCTAAAGGGAAGGTGATGGCATCATGGTGATGATCACTAGACTCATGATCCATAGCTTCAGGCTAATATTCTGTGGATATGGGGAGACAATGACCTAGTGGTATTATTGCTGGATTGTTGATCCAGAGACCCAGGTAATGTTCTGTCTCTGGTTTGAATTCTGCCACAGCAGATGGTGGAATTTGAATTCAAAAAATATCTGGAATTAAGAGTCTAATGATGACCATGAAAACATTTTTGATTGTTGGGAAAAACCCATCTGGTTCACTGATGCCCTTTAGGGAAAGAAACTGCCATCCTTACCTGGTCTGGTCTACATGTGACTCCAGATGCACAGCAATGTGGTTGACTCTTAACTGTCCTCTGGGCAATTATGGATGGGCAATAAATGCTGCCTAGCCAGCAACGCTCTCATCCCGTGAATGAATAATTTAAAAAATGCAACATAGCAGATGGAGGAATTTGGTTTCAATAATTTTTTTTCTCTAATGGTGACAATTTAACCATTGCCTATTGTTGCAAAAGCTCATTTGGCTCACCAATATCCTTTAGAGAAGGAAATCTGCCAACCTTACCTGGTCTGGCCTACATGTGACTTCCAGACCTACAAAAATGTGGCTAACTCTTTGTTGCCCTGTGCGCAATGATGGATGGGCAAAAGACGCTGAACCTAGCCAGCAACACCTATGTCCTGTGAATAAACAGGGGTCTTCAGCTGCAGTTGCTTAGTTTTAGTTTTGTCCTACAATATTTGGTTTAATTTTTGACTCAAACAGAACCTTACTTGACAGTCTGGGATACAAAAGAATATTTGATGCATATTTACAAGACTTTCACGTTTTGAATGGTGCAGCATTCCCCTTTTATTGCAAATGTCCATAGTGTTTGGCAACACCAAAAGGTTTCAACATTCTGTAAGAATGGTGAGTACCCAATAAAAAGTTGAATGAACTGAACCAAATTTAACCAAGTCAATCTGAAAAAGAGTCACTGGATTTGAACAGTGACTCTGTTTTCTCTCCACAGATACTGCCTGATCTGCTGAGTTTCTCCAGCACTTTCTTTGTTTGTTTCAGATTTTCAGCATCTGCAGTTCTTTGTTTTTTGTTTGAACCAAATCAGTCCTTGTGCAATGCCTCGAGTTACATGTTTCCTATCTAATGCTGCAACTTGTCTTCTACTGTAGAACATAAGGATTCTGCAAATTCTTTATATCAATGAAGCAAACGCAGTGGTCCTGCACATATTGGCTACAATTACGATGTACAAATGTTTGTCTTTAGTGCGAGCCATGAGTTGAATCTTGTAGAGGAGCTGGGGAGCTTGGCCACTGGCAGAGAACCACTGTGATTCCTTGCCCCCAATCATCTCTTTTCGGGCAGTCCCACTATGCTGTGATTTGTGTCACTTGACAGGCCTGAACTTCCTCTGGGTTCAACAGCCTAAACCAGAGGCCAGCAACTCTTCCGTACTTAGCAGCACCTCTGGAGAGACGATGGAATACCCAGGGTTACACCTGGGTTTTCCTTGCCTGATGTTGGGTACCTCAAGTGCCTTCACTAGAGCTGAAATGAAGAATCCTGCTTTTCTTGCTATTCAGTAACAACATGAGGTGAAAGCATTCTACCATCAGCCGATTTCTGCGATCTGGCATTACTCAAGTGCTTTAGAATAATCTGAGTGCAGGATAGATACCGTAGCTCTTTACACAGAATACTGTAGCGACTTTAGACATGGCATGTGGGCAGGTAACATTAGCTGGTATCATAACGGTTCAATAGAGATTGTTTGACTTCAGCAAAGCAATGAGATGGAAGAGACTTTTCATGTGCAATCTGTAAGGGTGTGAGAGGCACAGCAGATGGGGCAGTGGTCTTCCAGAATACTTATTTGTTTTTACATTCGCTCATGGGATGTGAGCATCACTGACTAGGCCAGCATTTATGGTGCAGAGGGCAACTAAAAGCCAACCACATTTCTGTAGTCATAGATTCATACAGCACGGAAACAGACCCTTCAGGATCAACCCGTCCATGCCAACCAGACATCCCAATCTGACTACGTCCCATTTGCCAGGATTTGGCCCATATCCCTCTAAATCCTTCCTATTCATATACCCTTTTAATCTCTGGAGTCACACTTAGGCCTGGTCAGGCAAGGATGGCAGATTTCCACTGCTATAGCTCCACAGATTTAGCATGAATGTCTCATCATATAACTACCAAGGTGAGGAATGTGAAACGTTGTAGAACTAGTTTTCAGGGACCTGATTTGAACACGAAGCTCCATTCCCATAATATACCTTGGCCCCTGAGGTGAAAGGCTCGACTCTGTTTACAAAATAGTTATTTGATGGTTATGTGATTCACTTTTTACTGTATGTTTGAAGAAGAGGCTTTGAACAAATAAGCAAATGCTATGTCTTGAATGTGGCAACTGCTTCCTCAGGACATTTTGATCAACAGAATGGAGCAGTACATGTGCTTTGAAGAAACAGACGGTGTTTTTGTAAAAAAAAATCTTGCTTACTCTTGCGCCTGGCAGACCAGGTTCACCAGGGCGACCAGGATCCCCATTAGCACCTTTAGGACCATGAACACCAGGAGCACCACGTTCACCAGGAGCACCCTGCAATGGAAACCAAAATGAAATGATTAGTTTGTTGTTAGAATTTGGAATGATCAAAATTATTTTTTTGCATGCTTGGACAAGACACAGGAAGTTTGTCTTCTAATAAACAATCCTCCTTTTCCTCTGGCCTCCAAACTCTCCCTCTCCACATTGCAGCCTTTCTTGTCTTGGTCTGCATTATCGTCGTTCTTCAGAACAAAGGCCATTGCTTCCCCCTCTGATCCAAATCAGCTCCAAGTGTACAATCATATAAATTACTGCTCATTTCCACTGCGCTGAAATCAATTTCAAGTTCACTGCCTTCCATTCTAACTCATTTGCTCCCACAGGGTCAAACTGCTTTTTCCTTTTAAAATCTTCCCTTCCTTCAACAATCTTTTGGGTTTTAAAACTCCTGATTTGGTGTCATTCAACGAGAACTTCTCTCTTGACCTTGATGCCTCTCCAAACTCTTTCAGCTTCAATAATGCTCTGTACTTTGGCAATCATCTTCTATCCAGTTTTGCCTTTTGACATAAACTCTCAATCAGAGAAATATTTAAAGCCAATTAGTAATTATCACTTGAAGCTTTTTCTTGTCTGTCCTTGGACTGCGGGGTCACTGGTCATTTCTTGCCCATCTCTAGTTGCCTCTTGAGAAGGTGGTGGTGAGCTGTCTTCTTGGACCGCTGCAGTCCATGTGCTGTAGGTAGACCCGCAGTGCCTTTAGGGAGGGAATTTCAGGATTTTGACCCAGCAAAGGGAATGAAGGAATGGCAATATATTTCCAAGTCGGGATGGTAAGTGGTTGGAGAGGAACCTGTAGGCAGTGGTGTACCCATGCATTTGCTGCCCTTGTCCTTCTACATTGTAGTGGTCATGGGTTTGGAAGGTGCTATAAGGAACACCCCTTGGTGAATTTCTGCAGTGCATCTTGTAAATTGTACACACACTGCTGCTACTGAGCATCAGTAGTGGAGGGAATGGATATTGGAGGTGGTTCAAGGAGGGTTATTCAAGTGAGCTCAACCAGAGAGTTCTCTGCCAGGGGACAGCCATTCCTTTGACAACTCTGTTCATTTCCTGTTGAAGTTACAGCAGAGTATTGGTAGAACAGCACAAAAAAATGGGGCTAAGTATTCCATTTCCTGAAAGTTTAAATGGAATGCATTGTGTCTTTTTACAATTTGCACGATTGATATTCTCTTACACTTTAACTGCTCTTTTGGATAAGATTCATTTACCTTATTTGAAGTAATTTTTATTATCTTTAAAAATGGGGTCTCATACACACTATAAATCAGTACTGATTGAGCTCCAGCAGAAAAATGGCATTTGCGGAGAGATTGTTCATTTTCAGTTGTCCAATAAACACTAACGTTATCAGAGAACCAACTCATCAGGAAGCTTGGGGCCAGGATCCATTCAATCTGAATTCAATATGCTCAATTTAAATTAATGAATTGGATTTTTTTTTAAAAAAAATGTGAACAAAATGCATTTCTGACTTGAACAGTGTCACTTTCTGAATGATGGTACATACCTTAGGACCTGCAAGACCATCCTGACCTGGGAAACCACGGTTACCGGGAGCACCCTAAGAATCAAAAGAAAAGAGCTGAGGTTAGAGGCTACAGTGAAATATGAATAAAACAAGTCATCACAACGGAGACACAGCACATAAACATACAATATGGAGCCCATATAACAACAGCATCTTCATGCAAGTCATGCTGTCGAAGTTAACAGTCTCACAATGAGGACAGTTCTAAATCTAGTCATCAAAGTTATTTTTCTTTTGAATCTTTGTTTAAAACCTGACACAGAAGTGAAACATTCATCTTTTGTTCTCTCCTAGTCATTGACAGAGCTAATGTGCATCTCCTAAACAGCAGATTGTGATTGGAGGGAACTCACTCTCTCGCCAGGAGGACCATTTGGACCAGCAGCCCCTGGTTCACCACGAGGGCCTCTCTTGCCTTCTTCGCCAGCTGGGCCGGGAGCACCTTGAGGACCAGCAGGACCCTAAAGGAAGCATCAGGAAAAGGGTGAGCACTTTCTAATTACATTTGCAGAGAAATTAAAAACAACAGAGCAGATTTAAAATATAAATTTAAAACATTGCGGGAATCAATCATGTACAAAAATAGGTGGTTTGTTTTGGAAATAGAAAATTATTTGGCCCAACAAGCCACTCTATTTCTGACACCTACTTAATCTCATCGTATCCATCATCAGTTTCCTTTTTTGGACAGACAGCTACTTATCTCCTCCATCATGCATCAATGTCCTCATCTAATCATTTGATTATCCTTTGAACACAAAAGTTCTGCCCGATTTCCAGATATACTTCCTAACTTGCTTCATTTTTAAGTTGTCTCCCCTGGTATTTTGGGCAGTATTTATGATTATTTGAATCAAAAGAATTAGCTATACTTTGAATGCTGACTTAAAAAGACTTTAATACTTACAGGTTCTCCTTTCGGGCCTGCTTCTCCCTTGAATCCTGCAACACCAGGCTCACCCTGTCAGATAAAACAATTGGTAGCATTAGCCATCAGGAATTGGGAGCATAATCTAGAGCAGTGGTGCGCATAAGCAGTAGCCTTTGGCAGAGTTGCTGCTCCATCTCATTCTGAGACTCCATTTGAGGCCTGTTTGGGTAAAGGATGAGAGCTAGGGCTCAGGGCTGTTGCCCTTTCCCTCTGTTGCCACCATTTGTTTAATACAATGCATTGCTGGCTGAGAAATTTTCACTGTCCAGTGGAATAGGAAACACCAAGGAGAAATATTGCACATTCAATCCTTCCAAACTTGGGTTGTGTCTGAAGTATTTTGCTGTTTGAAGGCAGCATCTTGAGCTCTGTAGCACTTGGTTGAAGCACCAATGGTTAGATATAACTTAAGGGGACTAAACAAATGTATCACATGACATTAAAGTGGATTTGTTCATGCTTCAGTCTTATTAATATGCTCAATTGGCCTACTGAAAACTTGCCTCTTCTTAGAGGCAAGAGGACTTATTCCAACCTGCATACAGTTACTGTCAAATAATAAATGTTAAAATTGAAATGTTTAATCGTTTTACTTTCCCTTCCTTCAAAGAAGTGATGCACCTCCTTTGGCGATAGACAATAGTGACACAATTTGAGGCAGAAGTGCAAAGGATCACAGAGTAATGGAGCAGAGACCTATGATGCATCTCCGAGGCCTTGGCCAATCTGGCAACAGTTTAAAAGGGATCACTGTTGCTATGGGAGATCAAAATTGGGTGGAGAAGCAGTGGGGCCTATGATGAGAGAGTGATATCTGTTGAATATTTTCTCCAGCTAAACCTCCTGCTATGGGTCCTCAGCTGTTACCCCTCAGTATCGGTGGATTAATCCATATGGGGTGACATGAGGGATGGCACACTGCTGGTGAGGTGAGGTAGTCACTGAATAAGGTTTGGAAGTTGGCCTGTCTGTTGCAATTAGCCTCCTGATATGTGGGGGGGTGGGGGGGTGGGGGGGTGGATGTAATGTTGGAACGGTGCTGTCTGTACATGAAGGATGTGTCATGGGTGACGCCTAGATAATACTTGGCAGGTGGCTAGGATCAGGCTTCAGTGTCTCACCATTCAGGGCGATGTTCAGTTCCTCTTAGCGCTGGTATTATGAAAGTGGAATGGTGCTAGGGGCATTTGCATTGGTACTCAGTTGTGAGCACCTTGTCTTACATTCATCAGGCAAACTTTACAGTATCATTACTTAATGTGTCTCCCAGCTCTGAGAAATTCTAAGCTTGTATGCCACAGCAGATATTGCCTGCATTTATATATGTCCAGGACCAGGTGGCGATACAAATCATTGGTGCTTTCCTGTTAGTGACCATCAATATTTTTGGTTAACAGTCAATCTCAGAACTTGCATTTGGAATGAAAGATGTGTCAAGGTTGGTGTAATTACGGCCTGGTGCAGTTTAACGTAAATTTTTGTGGTGACGTTTGACATTATTTATGGGTTGACATTATGAAAACTGGCGTAGCTTGATTTATGTTTATTTGTTAAAATTGACCACAAAACTCCACTGAAAGTAATGGGCGTTCCAGAGGTTTCCAACTGAGGAAAATTCAAAACAAAATTATGTTCTTGAATGCTGAATATTTTTACTTACTTGTTGACCTTTAGGACCGAGAGGGCCAGTAGCGCCTTGTGGACCTGGAGGGCCACGTGGACCAGGGAAACCGGGAGCACCAGCAATGCCAGGAGCACCCTAGGAGAAGGAGGAGAGAAGTTACCATTAACTGAGGATTAGTAAGAAGGTACCAGGCCTTGACAACTCTAAGTTTTAAGTGAAACTGGTAACAAATATAGGCTTCATACTCATGTTCCTTTACTCTAAGATGGTGACAATCATAGAACATCATCCAAGCATTATACTGGCTTTGTTAAAGGACATCGTCTAAGTATCTAGTGGAGGAGCCAAGGCCCATGGTGTAGGACACCAAGCAAGAGTTCAAGGAAAAGAACAGAAAGAATTCAAGTGGCTGGGTGATGGCTAGTTTTGGTTTTAAAAGCTCACAGAATATGTAAAAATGGGAACACCGAGGACAGTAAAGGGTTCTGTGGTGCTGAGACTTAAAATGAGGCAAATCTTTGAAATTCTGTGCCCCAAAGGGTTGTGGATGCCCTGCCATTAAGTATATTTAAGGGAGAGGTAGATAGATTGTTGTGGTGCTAAGGGGGTGAAAGGAGACGAGGACAGTGCGGGAAAGTGGCTTTAAGATAGAGGATCATCCCCGACTTTTTTGAGTAGCCTCAAATGGTTGATGACTGTGAATTGGCTGAGGAATTGGCTGGGGAGCATGCCCTGACTTAGAGAGCTACCCAGCCAATCAGAAGCCAGGCTGCTCTGTAGTCCCGGCAGCACCAGGCCCCAGCAGAGGCCACTGTTGGAACTAGGCCTCTAGTGAAGAGATATCCTGGGTTTCGGTGAGTCCAAGCGGATAGGCCTCAGTTGCAGAGGCCAGGGGGGCAAGGATTCAAGGTTGGAGGGGAAGGAGGTTGGGATGACCTTGAGGGATGGGGCGATGCCTCCAATGGGCACAGGCACCACACCCGCCAAAACCCCCTCCCCCAACTTATCTAACATCAGGCCCATACAGTTAAAGCTGCCAAGCTGCCTACTTGATGTGACCTCTGGGCAAAATAGTATTAGGGGCAAGATATGGGAGTTAAGCCACTCAACAGCTCACCCACTCCAGTAAATTAGGAGAGTGGTCAGGTCAGGCAGCTAGGTGGTAGGCAGGGCACACGGTGCATCTTACAAGGACCCCTCACCCCTACACCAACACCTGCCTACTGTTGTAAATCATAACATGATTGTGATCCTTATAATAAAGTGTTATGGGTCTCGAATTCCCCAGCATGTTAAAATCACTTAAGATGAAATGGCTGTCAGGTGAGAAAATTCAAACCTATCTTGATATTTAATAGATAATTTTAGTAAGCGCTAATGCCAAGTTTATATTTGAGCTATACTTACAGCAGAACCTTTGGCTCCAGGAATACCGTCAGTACCAGGGTTACCCTGTAAGAAGAGGCAGAAGGGACATAAGTCATTGTCATGCATCAATGTCAAAATAATACAGCACAAAGAATGTTTACATTTCTAAGACACTATTTTGAAATGATGCTTATGTGCTTCATCGAAGAGGAGATACTTGCGCACTTATGATTGAATTCCTTATTTTGTTGATCTGTGTTCACAATATTTAGGATCAGAAATCGTCAGATTTAATTGGATGTAAATCCAAAACAAATGTGCTCAGGAACGCAGACAGCTACACCTGGGCTGAGTATCTCTGGGCCACACTGGGGAAAAATCTAGCAACTCAGTGTGAGTGCATGATCAAACTACTACAGTCACATAGCCTGAAGACATTCAACAAGTGAAGAATGGCTGCTCGTTATTCAATTTGCACTTGGCAGCAGCCTGTAAAACTATATGAGTACTGCCTTCTGGTGAGAAGTTACAAAATGCAAGACTGGCTGATGGATTCAATAACTTACGGGAGCTCCAGCAGGGCCTGGGGATCCGGGGCTTCCTGACTCTCCTCTTGAACCCTGAGCACCCTCAGGACCACGAGCACCAGTTGGACCAGCTTCTCCCTGTGTGGAATGAGAAAAGAAACAGGCATTAGGACAGTGTGCCATTCTCTGGCACAATTCAAAGATATGATCAATTTAATTAATTGTATTGACCAATCTGGTTGTATGTTATAGCTGGTTGGCTGCTCCAACAATTTGAAAGGATTGTTGAACTTTGCATCATGAAAGTGCTTCGCAAAATGAAGCAGTTGTTTCTCTAATCTTCATGACAAAGGAAAAATTCCTGGGTTATGGGTTAGATGTAAGTGTCTATACCCAATGATGAGCATCACCACCTGTTAAGGTTTAATGGATGACATTCAGAGCCAATGAAGTAGTATAAATTACATACAATTAATTTACAACACCTTTAAGAGTGTTAATGTCCCAAACCAATATGCCCAACAGCATAGCAACATCCTAAGTGACACAAAACCAGTAATATGGATGAAGGATGTCTAATGGTACGAGTATGAACTGTACTTGGCAAAAAAGGAATGGGCCTGACCCATGGCATGGCTACAAGCCAAGGTATAGGCAACGTCCATTGATACTGTGAAGAGCTGTGGCTATTTCTATGGTTACAACAAGTCTTGCCCAGTTAGAAGGACAGGTTATGGCCAGTGGCATTGGAAAGGACATGCCCAGTGAATAGGATATGGGGCACCAGCAGTGATTGGGTGCAAGTCATGTCAATTGTTCTGGCTAAAGACCTTTAATGATGCATTTATGACCCTACCTAGTGATACTAGCACAGGTTATGACTAGGGGCAATGGACATGACCATAACCAGAGGTATTGCAATGTTCAGTGATGTTGGTATGGCTATGCCCAGATGTATTGGTATCCAGTGTTTCCAGTGATTTGGACATGTCTGGGTCCAGTGGCATTGGTATGAGGCGCATCCAGGTATTTGGGTGCGCATGCCTACTAGTTTTGGGCTAGTAGTATTTGTATGGAATATGCATAACGAGTTAGGTATGGTTATACCAAGTGGTGCTCGTATAGTGTACCTCTATGGATATGGTTCTGCCCATTTGTTAACAGGATGTGAGTGTAACTGGCAAGGTCAGTATTCATTGCCCATCTCTAATTGCCCTGGAGAAGGTGGTGCCTGTTGAATTCAAGGACATTGTCAATGCATGTCCCTGGAACATTTCTTTCACAATTCAATTACCCTTTAGCCAAAAGCTCTGATTGAATGTCCTTGTTATTCCAACTTTGATATCCGAATAAATTGCCTGGACTAATTTTAGCAATTTGTTTCGATAATCTTGAAAACTTAACTTAGGTCATCCCAATGTCACCTCTTTTCATAGAATTATAGAATAGCTACAACAAGGAAGGAAACCATGCCTGCTATGTTTGTGCCAGCTCTCTGCAAGAGCAACCCACCAGCTTCCACTCTGACATTTCCCTGCAGACTTGCAACTGTTCTCTTCAACTGTTTATCCGAGTCTCTTTTAAAAAGAACATCCTGACCAGTCCCTTTGTAAGAAAAGTTTCACTTCATGTAATTTCTGCTTCTTTTGCCATTTATTTTAGACTGGTGTCCTCTGGGTCTCGGCCCTCTCATCAATGGGAACAGCTTCTCTCTCTCTCTCTGAGCTCTCTCTCTCTCTCTCTTTCCCCCCCTACTTTGGCCAGACTCCTGATCATTTTGAATATCTCTGACAAATCTCTTCTCAATCTTCTCAGAACTCAATTCCAAAGATGCGTCATATTGGATTCAAAACATTAACTGCTTATCTTTACACAGATGCTGCCAGATCTGTTGAGTTTCTCCAGCACTCTCTGTTTTTATTTCAGATCTCCAGTGTCCATAATATTTTGCTCGTGATACTCTTCCCAAATTTCCCTTCTGTAAGGAGAGTAGCCCCAACATCTCCGATTGACCCTCATAAATGAAGCTTCTTATCCTTGAAACTGTTCTCGAGAATCTTTTCTGCACCCTCTTTAAAGCTTTCGCTTCCTTCTAAAGTGTAATGCCTAGAACTGAACATGATAAACCAGTTCAGGACAAACCAGTGTTTACAATGCATTTGTTGTAACTTCCTTGCTTTTGCACGCTGTTTCTCAATTTGTAAATCCCCTTCTACCAACCTGTCTCTGTCACAAATTTTGATATTGTGCCCCATATTATTATAGATCAAGAAAAGGAAGGGTCGAAAATACTGACCCTTGAGGAATTCTCTGTGTACTTGATTTGAAAAAAACCCTATTTCCTCCTGCTCTAAATTTCATGCCACTCAGATGCTTTGGACTCTGCTGCCACTGTTCTGTTTATTCCATGGATTCTAGCTTTGCTTATCAAATCCTTTTGGAAGTCCACAGAGACTGCATTACCTTCATCAACTCTCTCTATTACCTCATCGAAAAAGTCACTCAAGTTTGGTGAACATGATTTTTTTAACAAATCGATGAATCCGCACACGTTAATTTTGCCCTGGACTGTTATTTCGAAGAGCTTTCCCACCTCTGAGGTTAAACTTTTGGGATTCCTGTTGCTGGGTTTATCTTTCTACCTTTCCTATTGAACAAGGGTATAATATTTGCAATTCTCCAGCCTTCTGGCACTACCCTGAGTCTGAGTTGGATTGGAAGGTTATGGCCAGTATCTCAGCAATTTCCACCCTTACTCCCCTCACTATCCTTGGATACATCCCTTCCAGCCCTGGTGATTTATTAATATTAAGTTCAGTCAGCTTTCCTAATAGTTCCTGTTTATCAACTTTTTACCCATCCTGTGTTCTCATTTAGTACATTAGCTCTGACTTCTATCTCCATATGCAGATGTTAATTGACTCCATCCCCTCCTTTACTAGCCCTTTTACTATTTATTGCCTACTAAAAACTTTTAGATTTCCTTTTACATTGGCTGTCAGTCTCTTTACATACTCTATCTTTGCCTCTCATTTCTCTTCCCATTGAACTTTCTACTGATTTGCACTTTTGTTGCCAAATTGACATCTGTCATTGGCATCTTTTTTCTACTTCATTATACCCTCTACTATGTTTGTCATCCAGGCATTTCTGGCTCTTGTTGCCCCACCTTTCTCACTTGTGGAAATGCACCTTGACTGCACCTGATCTATCTTGTCTTTAGAGGCAGGCCATTGTTCAGTTACAATTTTGCCTGCCAGCCTTTTGGTTCCATTTTACCGGAGACAGATCTGAAATTGGCTATCATCCAGTTAATTATCTGTCCCCCATAAATGCCAATTTCCTTAGCCTTTCCTCCCTCACAAGGTAAATTCCCGATACTCAAAATTATCTTTATCATGGCCTTTGCACCTTTTCAGGGTCAATACTGTCTACTGTGTGATCATGTGATATGATTCTATGTGCTAAGAATGACCCACAGTGATCCAGATGGGTTATAGCTTGCAACTTACAGAGCAGAGAGATACATTAGCCAAGCTTCAAGGAAAAAAACACAAACACTTGCATCAAGTCTGAACAAAGCAGCAATTCAAGACATTTCTAGCTCTCCTATTAGTTATATTTAAGCAGGAATATTGAACCAAATATATTCTTGGATTGAATTTGCTCTTGGGCAGCACGAGAATATTGAATTTAAATGAAGAATGTTCAGACACAGCCTGGTTTATTGGGCCAACTCTCGTCTTTAATCTGCGCTGCATTTCTGGATCATTTACTATGAAGTAGCTCCATACAAAAAGGAACTTTCCAACTTTACTTCTGAATTCGGATCAAGGGTCACAGCTGATTGTGTTGGAAGTGTACCTCTGAGCCATAGGCAAAAGGTGAATCTGAGTTTTTCCCAAATGTATGCAAAACAGTTTTAGAGAAAGCTATTCAGGTTATGTTGAAGGACAACTGACTCAAAGGTCATCAGTTCAAATTCCACTTTGGCAAACTGTGGAATTAAAAATATCTTGGATATTCAGTGGGCTGGCATCAGAAAACAATGACCACAAAGCTGCTAGATTGTCACCAAAATCCAATTGATTCACTAATCTCCTTCAGGGAATGGAACCTGCCTGGACTAGTCTACTTGTGACTCCAGTTCCCCACCAAAATTAACTCTGAATGCCCTCAGAGCAACTACGGGCCAGGCAATAAATACAGCATAAGCCAGATTCTCAAGACCAGAAGTTTAAAATAAAAGTGTTTGCATTTATACAGCAGCCTATCACGCCATCAGAAGCACTTTTGAAGTGTAGTGCCAGTCTGTCCTAGCAATGTCTTACAAAAAATTAACAGTGAGATGAACAAGCGGATAAACTAATTTTATCATTATTATTACTTGAAGGAGGAACATTGGCTAACAATCAAAATGTGATGAATCATTTAATGGGGTTGGAAGACGCAAGATGTTATCTATTAAGACAGAAAAATCTACTAATATGATAGCAAACTTTGAACCCAGTTGTTAAGTGAGTGCTGAAATAAATAGCAGTGATAGGCCTGACTTGTAAGCAATGTTATATTTGGGACTTTTGGATCGCCAGAAAGTGATATCTGAATGTGCTCATTGTGGTAAAATTGGCAAAGTTAGTCTGACAGTACCACTGAAATGAGAAATGTGATCAATTTTAATAATTACGTTGAAACAATGGCTCTTAAAGATATTTAAATTCAGGCTCATTTTATGCCATAGCATTTTTCTTTTCTGCTCAGTTTTTATCTGTGGGTTTGGTGCGCTTCCTTTATTTTTCAATTTCCCCTCACTTGTCTGTTTTTGTCTCTTGTCTGATATCTTCTTTTAATAACACATAAATTCTTATCCGTCCCAACAGCACCAAGCATGTTATGCAGAGACATGTGACAGAATGCACTGAGGCAGCTTTTTAACTATGCTACAATGTAAGGTGGGAGAGCGGGGGTGGGGAAGAGAGAGAGAAAGGGAGATCAGGTTCCCTTTTCAGTTTTATTCTTTATGTCTGGGGGAGCTAGCTGCTTCCATTTTCTGGCCTTGGTTTCACATTGTCCAGCTTGCCATAACACTACTTGACCTTCTGGAAAGCTGTCAGTCTCTCTGAAGAATACACTAAGAATAAGGAGCTTTAAGCCAAAATTAAGACACTTTTTAATTCTTCCTTACATAAAAAAGTTAACTATCCAATCAAATCGTCTGTTCATTATCAGTATACCACTTTAATCTGACTTGGGCCTCAAAA